TCTTTCATGTCCTGTCTCACACAATCTATCCATCTTTTCTTTTGTCTTCCTCTACCTTCCCATCCATCTACATCCATTTCCATTACTACAACATCGGATATACAGTATGGAAGAATATTCTATAAAAAATCTGGGACACCCCTTTTTTTACGTTGGGAAATGCTCTTACCACCTGCATAAATACAGATGGTTATGGGAGTCACCGGCCAGAGGAGCCAACACTATCCACTAAAACCCAATACAACCTCCCCTGTTTGATGGGGCATCACGGGATCACGGGATCGCTTACGCACCCAACTACAACTACATGCATATATGTAGTTGAACCCTGAGCTTGTTCCACCTGTTAATATCTTAACGAATTATATAACACACACAGCACCATCTAGTTCCATAGTAAGCTACGAGGCTTGTGGGTTGTGTTATAAAAATAGTAAAATGTTCGGTGACTGTTAAATTACTGTTTTCTACAGAACTACCAGTTTTAGGGATCGAATTAAAAAAAAAAGATATTTCTAAGCTACTAAGCCTTTATTTTTTAGGCTGTTGCTATTCGTCCGATAATCGGACGATCAAGAAATAATTCGTCCGACTATTGTCACTTTTTTTGTTTTCTAATATAAAATAATTTATTTTTTAGGTTTAGGAGTTACTTTATGCAAAAAAAAAAAGAAAATAACCTGAACCTACTTAGCTAAAAGTTTTTTTTTAGATCTCAATGACTTTTAAGTTCAAGAGTTTTTGTGTGTAAAAAGAAAAGTGCTCTAATCTACGAAGCTAAAATGGATTTTTTTAGGAGAATATTACTACGTCATAATAAAACAAGATAATACGAATTAATCTTGAATATTTTTTTTAATAAAATAGGTTACTTTTTATTTATTTTTCTATTATCTACATCTATACAGATAAATAAAATTGAAGTGTCTGTTTGTAATGTCAAAATAACAGCTTTTTATTAGGATTAGGATTTACCTATACACGGTACATATATCAAAACAACATTTTTTACAGTTTTTGTCTGTCTGTCTGTCTGTTTGTTCCAGCTAATTTCTTAAATGGCTGGACTGATTTTGACGGGACTTTCACTGGCAGATAGCTGATCTAATAAGGAGTAACTTAGACTTTTATTTTAGAAAAAGAATTAGGGTCCCATGAAAAAAAAACCAATGTAAAATTTAATTATATCCGATTCAAATAGGGAAGGTGTATACATACCCTAGGGACGAACCCGCGCGAAGCGTGAGTCGCTAGTGTACATATAAAGAGAAAATGATATCTCGTACTATAAAGTAAGAAATTCTCGGGTTAGCCAACTACCTAATAATATCAAAACACCACAGATTTGCTGTGTAAATAACCATTTCAGGTCATTACGATGAGTCACGCTATATCCTTATTGTATGTAGGTACATACTGTTTCTATGTGGAAAACTCAGCGCGTGTAATACGATAATTTGTGAAATCTAAACTTATATGGTAGCAAAGCTAAATCTGTAAGTACCTATATGAAATATATTTTTTAAATTGAACTGTTACATATTGTGTACAGAATATACTACGAGTATATAGACACCCAAAACAATAATAATTGAAATTTTTTAGTATAGGTACCTTTTACTACGGGAAAATCTTTCATTCCCACTGGGAAGTTTTATTGGGTTTAAGTGGGTAGTACTGGCTTTTCTAGTCGGTGAGTTCCACATAACGTGTATATCTAGAGATGGTGTTTATCTGTATAAATTTATTAATGCCAAAGTTCAAAAAAGTAAAATTCTAAGTAAACCTAGTCGATCTTCCAAGATCGATTGGTCAATCAATGTTAACAACCATATTATGTTAATAAATTAATTATTGCTATGTTAAATGCTTGTTTAACACATAAATTTTCTAGGGAAGATAAAAACATAAATATTATTTTATTGCTTGATTTATTTTAAATTTATAATTTTTAGGATTCCGTACCTCAAAAGAAAAAAGGAATCTTTATAGGATCGTTTCGTTGTCCGGCCGTATGTATATCTGTCTGTCCGTCAAGACGATTTTTCTTAGGAACGTATGGAGAATTCAAGTTGAGATTAATAGCAAATACTCCGTTTTGCAATCCCTTGGTGCTGTGAATAAACCAAACTTTTAAGTCAACGCAATCAAAATATACGGATGTTTATGTCGCATATTTGACAAGATTTTTTACGCAATAAAATAAAAACCTATATATATATATATATATATATATATATATATATATATATATATATATATATATAGGGTACTTCCCGTTGACGTAGAATCATGAAATTTAGCAAGAAGCAATGTCATATAGTAAAGGGAAAAATCCGAAAACCGTAAATTTGTTGTTACAACTCTAAAAATTATTACTAAATAAATTATATGCTTGACGACACGTTTGGCTGTTTGTAGTGACTCTACTTGCTGTGCCAGCGGTCGCGGGTTCGACTCCCGCTGGGGGCATTCATTTGTGCGATACGAATTTTTGTACTCCAGTCATGGGTGTTTATATTTATAATATGTATGTATTTAAAGTTATATATGTGTAGTGTATCAACTATCTGGTATCCATAACACAATCCTCGTAGCTTACCATGGAACTAGATGGCGCTGTGTGTTAATGTCCCAACATATTTATTTACTTATTTATTTATTTATTATATGCGTGTTTTAATATTTCATGCTACGAAACCCTCGGTGTGCGAGTCAGACTCGCACTTGTCTGATTTTTTTTTTAATTTAAGCTATTGTAAAGTAGGTACTCGTAAGGTCACGCACTCAAAGATGAGATGTGAAATTTCGAAAGAACTGGATCGTTTTGAAAGAATTGCGCGACACAAAACAAAAAAATAAATTTTAAAAATTAAAAAAAACATGTATGTTACCTACCTTAGGATTACATAGCCCCCAAATTGCGTTGACTGTAGTGGTGGGGTCCGGCAGTTCAGCCGCGCGGATCGCTCGAGGAACCCCTTTTTAGGCATTGAAATTATAATTTAACTGTTTTTACAATATCCCTGCGACATATATATAAAACTAGGTACGTTTTAACGATTAGTATGGAATAGATATATTAGTATATATTACATATACTTATACATAGTATGATGAGTTCCCTTACTTAGAAATGAATGATTCCCCAAATAACTTTTATCCCACTTTTTACCTCCAATTAAGAATGATTTTCGGGATTAAAACTATCCTATGTCCTTCCCAGGGTCTCAATCTCAAACTATATTCATAATAAATTGCATCTAAATCGGTTCAGCGGATTTTTAGTTTATCCATAACAAGAAACTCACCCTCGCTTCGCTCGGTTTTGTCTCTGGCTTGATTCCTCATACAAACTTTCATCCCCATTTTCAGCCCCTTAAGGGATGATTTCCGGGATAAAAATATATGTCCTTCCCAGGGTCTCAAACTGTCTTCTTATCAAATTTCACCTAAATCGGTTCAGTAGACCCAGAGATTACCCCCTATAACGTCATAAACTCACAAACTTTACCTGTTTATAATATTAATTTAGATAAATTTACTGGTAATAAATAAATCCATTATTATTTATTGGTTATTATTTACATCTTGTTGTAAAGCTGTTTTCCTCACAATAATTAATAAATAGGCTTTATGTGACCCATACGTATTTATAAACTAAGTACCTACTAAAAAATACATGCTTCGCTTATGACGTGCGGAGCCACCATTCTCTGGAACTAAGAAAAATGAGTTCAAATATATATCAACAGATGGCGTTATATGTATCGATTTGTTGTTGTTGAAGTTTATATAACGGTTAGTATAGGTTTCTCAGAGATGAGATATTTTCCCGCAGTAAAAAGTATCCTATATGTTGACCCGGATAACCAGCTATCATTATACCAAATTTCATCAAAATCCCTCCAGTGGTTTTTGCGTGATGCGGTAACAGACAGACCGAGCTACAATGGACCAAAACTGGTCGACGTAGCTAGGGCCGACCTCGGCACCACACCCAACATAATAATAATAACAGACAGACCGACAAAAAAATTAAAAACTATAGATTCGGCGTCTGTGTCGATAACAATGAATATTTCAATAAGATTTTCCAAAAAATATTTATTGTACAGATTCGACTCAGTTAGAATTTTATTATATGTATAGATTTAAAGCAAACAAAAATAGTCCGGAGAATGGCCCGAATTAGTGATGTCCAATTAATTTTTTTCTACTTTTGTGTTTGAAATTTAACTGTTGTTTAAACCACGTTTGACATATAATTTATTCGTTAAACAAATTATGAAAAATTAGGTCACGGTCAGGAGGTTTTATGTTGTTGTTATTAAGAACTCGCTGGACAAGCGTATTGTTGTATGGAAATTTTAATTAACTAGTGTTCCAGTGGTTGAGCGATTCGAGTAATAAATTTAATCATTAAATAAATAAATAAATATGTTAGGATATTAACACACAGCACCATCTAGTTCCATGGTAAGCTACGAGGCTTGTGTTATGAATACCAGGTTGATACACTGACTGAAGTACAAACTCCCAGCGGGACTCGAACCCGCGACCGCTGGCACAGCAAGTAGGGTCACTACAAATTGAGCCAAACGTGTCGTCAATATGAATAGAATTTCCTTATCTAAATAAAAAAAAACTATTTCTAAAAAAAAATTGATAACACTGAAACTCTTCAATAGCTACTAAATAAACAAAAAAAAAACAAAATCGGTTGCCTAGTAATAGAGAAGAAAAAGGTACTGTATTATGAAACTGTTTATAGATAGTCTATAGAAGTCTATAGATTTGTTTAATGGTCGTTGAGCACTCACATATAAAAAAACAATTTCTGGTTTTTCCATATTTCCTACTTTTCCGGGTTTTCCAATATTTAAAAAAAGAAATTAGCCAACATAGGTGCAGTCGGTCTCAAGTGCGCTTACCAACAAACAGCATTCCATTTTTACTGACATCTTCGGATTCATAGAATCCTCATCATATATTTACAGATGCTGTTCTCCATTGTCTCCATCATGGTGGCGACGGTGGCATATTCTCAAAGTGCGACAGTGGACCCAAGCCTTCTAGTCGATATCTTTGGAACGCCGCCACCTACCACAAGACCTGCCAACTCCCCGCCTAGATTAGAGGATGTAAGTATAGCAGTCAACTAGGTTTCGCTCAATGCTCGAAATTCAGCCATATTTTTATTGATAACACTAAAGCTTGTCAATGGCTACACAAAAAAGCAAAAAAGGAAGTTGGTTGACAGAACTGTTGTCTTTGCCTATTTATACATATGTATATAGATTTTAGAGCTTCAAAAGCCTGCTTAGAAAATAACTATAACAACTAATCAATTTCAACAAACCCATACAATTGTAGAATCCCAACTTAGTTATGTCATCAAAATTTGTCTTTATATTATAATAGCAAATAGAAGATAAAGTTTTAGGCAAAAGAAATATAATATTTTTGATAAAACATAATTTATTTTGGAAGCATGCATTTTTCAACTCTCCTTCCATAAATTTTCGCTTGCCGTTTGGCCTCTGGAGTGCTAAATGCTAATAGTGATACCGATACCAATAATGGTGGAAATGGTAATTTTTGTTTTAATTTTTTCTTTCCGTTATATTCGAAAGAAATAGACTACGGCACATAAACTGTCTGCCTACAAAATAATCATGTTTTTTAAATTTATACACGGAATTCTAATAACATAATATTTTGATAATCAGATAACAGTGCGGCCAACTCAAAGCGGCGCATTGTTTACAAACGGCGATGGAGAACAGTGTCAGTGCGTGCCGTACTACCTCTGTGATTCAAATAATGCCTCAACATACCTCACCGATCCTAAGTTCAATGGATACGGGACTTTAGATATAAGGTAAGCAAAAAACATATATATTATATTATAAGTATAATTTAATAGCTTTTTACCGTCTTCAAAGACTAAATACTAATCTGTTTTAGTACTCAATACGATGTTTGTTTGGCTATATCTTCACTACATGAGAACTGATACTCGTAATTCTTTTTTTTTTATAACACTTTATTGCACACGAAAATGGTACTTTAAAAAAGATTTAATTAAAGAGATGTGCAAAATGCGAAAAGGATACAAGAAAATAAGTGAGAAGAAAAAAAGAAGTCATGATTATTTTTAACCCCCGAAACAAAAAGAGGGGTGTTATATGTTTGAAGTCGATGTCTGTCTGTGTGTGTGTGTCTGTCTGTGGCATCGTAGCTCTCAAACGGATGGACTGATTTCGATGACTTTTTTTATTTGAAAGCCAGTTTCCTTGCGGTGGTTCTTAGCTGTTTGTTTAATATCGATCCAGCAGTGTAAGAGCATCACCTCTTTTCCAAAATGATGTAAGGCATTTTGGCGTATGATTACTCGATTAAGTGCTTCACGCGTGCCAGTGTAATCGTTAAATGACAATTACTATGCGTGGGGGGGTTTTTTTTTTTAATTTATTCTTATCAATTGATTATATTTCAAGGGTGGTAACCTACAAGACAAAAAATAAGTGAAAACTATTGTTACAATCAGACGGGTGTCCCGCTCAACCGGGTAACGACCACGGTAGCTTCCTACCGTCACACCATAGCTATTAGCTTATCACTGCCTTTAAGGCCTATTGTATAAATTAGACCTAATAATAGAAAATATATCTTAAATAAACCTATAATAATAAGTTTTTTAAGCTATTGCATAGCTTCTATCGCGGGCCTTGAGCGTGGGGACCGAATCCAGAAATTCCATAACGAAAAAAACCTGACACCCCCCACTCCGACCGGCACAGCGGTGATACTTTTTAGTTTTTCCATCTATCGATAAATACCAGAACTTTTAATGACTTTTTGAAATATCACGCTTGTCTCTTTAGTTCAGCAACCCGCCTTTAGGTGGCATTGGTTGTATTGCAAAACTACCGTTATCAGCTGTTTGTGAGAAAGTATATAGGTGTATAGGTATTTATCATCTATGTACAACAGTGAATATCTGTACTCGTATAATTTGTGTACAAAGTGTTTTAAATATGAATAAACAAAGTGCATTTATTAATGAAGAAAGTCAAGGAAAAAAATACTGCATTAATAAAATAAATAAATAATTATAATTGCATAAGTTGATAAAAAATGCTATGCAATAGCTTTACCGCGGCAGTCTCCGAGTGCCACATTTAATTTTTCATATTATTGTTACATTGAAGCTGTGCTACTGTTCACCACACCGGAACAAACTTGTGTATGGCTGATATAAGTATTTACCTCGTGCGTATCATTTTTCGTTGCAGATTTTGATATTACACATGTGTAGAAAAAAATTAAAAATAAACATTGCAAATAATATGTAACTAATATATATACTAGCGACTCACCCTCGCTCCGCTCGGGTTCGTCCCTGGGGTGGGGTCTGGGAGGACCACCCTTATCCTTATCACTTAGGGGTATGAAAAATAGATAGTAGCCGATTCTCAGACCTACTGAATACGCATATAAAATTTGGTAAAAATCGGTAAAGCCGTTTCGGAGGAGTACGGTAACAAACATTGTGACATGGAAATTTTATATATAAGAATATATATAATAAAAACTTTAAAAAAATTGACTTCCAGGCACTAAAATGTAAAAAATAACTAAACTAACCTAATTAGATATTTTCGATGTCGGTGCCAGCCGATGCAAAGCAAATCTAATACATATATTTCGATACGTACATCACAAATTGATGTACATATAATATTTTAACAATTCTTTTAATATTAGCATTTTAAGTTTAAAATATTATCTTAAAGATATAACGCAATTTTTCTTATCTAGATTTGGAGGTAAAGAAGATTGTCAAGAGACTGTAGAACGTTGCTGCAAGAACCCCTTGCCTGAACCCCCACCAGAACCTGTGACCCCTGACCCTACGACGATGAGGGGTTGTGGTTACAGAAACCCTAAGGGTCTGGACTTCACCATCACAGGAGGATATGTAAGAATTTTAGAATGCGTTTATTTAAATATTTATTTTAATTTTAGTGATATCTTCGCAATATTTTTAATTTAATTTAAATATATCCAAAGCGTCTAAACGTCATAACAAACACACGCACAAACTATCGTATTTATATTATGTGAATTATGTCATGATAATAAGAAATAGTATAAACTTCGCTCCTACAACCTGTAGCGTGATGAGATATCCACCATTCCTCAATAGATAAGGTGTAAAATGCAAAAAATAACAAATCTTATTTCGGTAGATTCTTATTTTTCATCTCTTTACTTTTCTCTCTCGATATCTCAAAATAGATTAAATATAGATTTTTTTTAAATTGAAGCCATTTTTTCTAGGGTAATGAAGCTCAATTCGGGGAATTCCCATGGGTAGTGGCGTTGCTGGACGCCACTAAGGCCTTAACCTACGTGGGGGTGGGAGTGCTGATACACCCACAAGTGGTCATGACTGGAGCTCATGTAGCTTTTAAGTAAGTATGCTAATTTTATACCTACTAGCCTTTTTCTTGTATAGTCTATTTTTTCTTACGTGTCCTAAATAGTAAACTAATATGGCGTATAGGTAACCACCAACCAGAGAAAATAGATATGGGAAATGGAATGACGAATGAATGACTGAACTTAATGGTTTTTATGCAGTGAACGTAAACTTGTATTGGGTAGAAATAATACGACAAGTTATTCTAATAATTTTATTACACGCATACTGATGATAATTCTCTCGCCTCTTCAAACACATATATTTCATCAAACGTGGCAACGTAACGTTAAACAACTGTCAAAATGTCATGCGTCTATTTATTTTCTTTTTGGCTTTGATATAAACTCATTTTTAAAACCTTAAACTAAAAAAGCAAATAAGCGGTCGGGGGATCTCCGTCAGGAGCGAAGTCCCTCACTCCATTTTAATAAAGAGTGCAATAAGATACGAAATAATAATAATTACAACAACAAATAATAATTATAACATGATTAAGAGCAATTAAAAATCTTCTGTATTCTACAGAAGACACTGCTATGTATTTTAAAGTCTAATAAAAATTTGAACAAAATAACGTACTTTGTAATTTAAAGATATTATTATTTTTAAAAAGTTCAGTTTACATTCTCGATAATTCATTCTAAATGTTCCATCTCTATGATTCAAAGACAAGGTAGCGTATCGAAACGTCAGTGTTGTGTTCATATTGTATCTGTGGAAGTTATTTCTGTTAATATTTCGATTTTAGCAAAAATTATGTGTTTAAATCATTAATTAATAGCTTTTATTAGTGTAATCCAAAGCGTGTGTGCTTTGATTTCTGACACAGTTATAAACGAACCAAATTCAAAATGTGTCCGAAAACAAGTGTGTTGTTTACCATTAAATAGGACATGTAAGGAAAAATCAAAAATAGACTACATATCATTCGCTTGTATCGATTATGATATCGATTTGGAACTTAGCTATGATTTTAATTTCTGAATTATTCGTGCTATAATAAAAAATGGACAGGACACGCATTTAGACAAACAAACAAAAAAAAATATAGTCGAATTGAGAACCTCCTCCTTTTTGAAGTCGGTTGAAAACATAAGTTTCACTACAAATAATGAATATTATTTTTTGGCTAATAAAAAATAATTATTCGTAATATCCTATTAAGGACGAATCTTCTTATATATATTTATAAATAAAAATGAATGTTGGTAGGCGCATAACTCAAGAATGTCTGGACCAATTTGGCTAAAAAAAAATTCGTATGTTCCTTAAGGTCCACGGAAGGTTTTAATAAAGTGAAAAAATGAAAAATTGAGGAAAAAAATTAAAAATTTATGTAGCTAACGTTGGCTAATAACTATTTATATCTATTTAAAACGTACCTAGCGACGTACCCGAGCGAAGCGAGGGTGAACCGATAGTAATAAATAAAGAAGGCTGTTGCTATTCGTCCGATAATAGGATAAATAAAAAAAATATTATTCGTCCGTCTTTTGTCGATTTTTATTTTTTTAATTATTTATTGAAATTTCAGTACATATATAGCAAAAACAGTTATAAACGATAATAATTGCAGAAGTTAAGAAACTGCGTTGCAATTATTAACGCCCTCCACCGGAAAATAAATATTTACAACTTGTTTTTGTTTTCTAATGTAGATTAAGTGATTTTAAGGCGCAGGAGTAATTGTATTAAAAAAAAATTACCTTAACCTACCAAGCTGTGCCGAGTCACTTATTCTACTTCTATTATTATTTATTCGTCATATTATAGGACGAATAGACACTCCGTGTTTGTTTATAGAAGTCGATTTAATTAAAATAAGTAATTTAAGTTTGATAGCTTCATTTCTTTCTTAGATACGCCCCCGGCTCTTTAATAGCTCGCGCAGGAGAATGGGACACACAGACAAATAAGGAACGGCTCAAAGCTCAAGAGCGAATCGTACAAGACATGGTTATTAGAGAAGGTGAGACCTCGAAATAATATGACAATAGTAATAAATAATATATAATAGCAATAAGTAATAACTCTTACTTATAATAATTGAGACCCTTTTTTACACTAGTAATAACAGCCAATAACGATGAAGACTTCGCAACCTTCACTTCTAAAATATCCAAAAATGATTAACAATGATCCAAACATTTAATATTATTTCGACCCTCATGTTAATTATACGAGTGTTGCTAATGTTAATAATGATCCCCTTTAAGATTGTGACTTTCAATTTTAAAACCAATAAATGCCTTATTTGTTTCTTTGTTTAAACGCGCTAATCCCAGGAACTACTAACCCGATTTGAAATTTTTTTACATTAGATAGCCCATTTATTGAGGAAGACTATATGCTATATATCATCACGCTACTACCCAAGGGTGCGGAACAGCAATAATAAATGTCTACAAATAGGACAGACTGGCATACATTATTGTAAAACTGATGTTTATAATAGATCAAATTTAACGCGGGTTAAACCGTGGGGCATAGTATAACATAAGTTAATAACTTTAACATGACTCAAATTATTTTATCAATTTTTTATATTAAATTAACTCGCACTGTCAATTATTTGAGGCTGCAGGTTTGATCCCTGAAGGCTGAAATCATTTGACTTTTAAAGTATTAAAACAAAAAAATGCTTAATCCCTCCACGACCGCGGACACGCCGGCGTGTCAGTTAATAATAGATTTCTAAGAAATTTAATGAATTTCTTAGAAATTTAATAATTTTTTTGAAATTTACTGGAGGTGTTAATTTAAAGCTAGACGTTTGCACCATCAAGTTAGAAAACTTTGGCCTAGTGGTCTTAGTATTTGTAGTGGTTTTACTAATCATACCTTAACGTATAACATAAATGGACGATTTTTTTTGTTTCACTAGATTTTCATCCAAAGAGTCTTCGCAATGACATCGCACTCCTCCGTCTGCAGGAGCCCGTGGACCTCATGGACCATATCAACATCATCTGCCTCCCGCGCCAGGACGAGGACTTTGACACTTATAGGGACTGTGTGGCTAACGGATGGGGGAAGGAAAATTTTGGTGAGTAAATACCACTATGTATGAGTGCATGCATTATACCTGAGTACACCTATATATGTGTTAAAACAAATTAATGTAACGAGGGCTACCGTATTTGTACTCACCAGTTGGCGCCACTGGCGAGTGGGGTCATATCGCTGTGGTTGAAAAGAATTAGTTAGTGCGGCAGGGCCAATAAATTTTATATAATATCATTATTATTAGCGTGAAAACAATTCTATCAAGATTTTAAATATGTAATTAATCATAACCAAATAAACAAAATACCTATTGACTTTTTCTTAATTCTTTTAATTAAGCAATAATATTTATTGTGCCGTACCATGTCTGTCAAAATTAATCAGAACTGGTGCAATTTTTACAATAAAAATAAGTGAAAATTCGCGATATAAAGCATACAAACAGTAAACATTCAGTGTCATTTGACATTTGTACAGACCTCACTCTACTTTCGCGGCGAATTCAAGCGCGGTAGCCCTCATTGTATGGTCCCTATGTTGTATACAATGAGTTACATGAGTGTATCAACTATCTGGTATCCATAACACAGGCCTCGTAGCTTACCATGGAACTAGATGGTGATGTGTGTTAATGTCCCAACATATTTATTTATTATTTATATAAATGTTATTCCAAAAGCCAGAATGGTTGTGTTTTTCGTGTTTATCCCAACACAAAAATTTAATTGTTTTCATTACACTTACATAAATATATAAAATGCTATTATAAAAAAAACCTATATTTATGGCTCATACTAACTCACCAATAATTTTATCCATGTTACAAATTCTCTTATCAGGTCTCAAGAACCGATACGCGGTAATATTAAAAAAGATCGAATTAGACATGGTGCCATTCAATCAATGCGAATCTCTACTTAAGAAAACCCGACTGGGCTATAGGTTCAAGTTAGACAAGAGCTTCGTTTGTGCTGGCGGTGAAGAAGGAAAGGATACCTGCTCGGTAAGACTACGTAGCCTTTTACGTCTTTTGTTTCCAGTGTATCCCTGAACGGATACACTGGGAAAAGTCATTTTATCCTATTAAGTCTTGTTAATAATTTGTAAGTAGTTTGGTAATGTAGTGTGTTATAAGTTATAAAATTTGAGGTCGATTTAGTTCTACTTTTCCAATTATCTTATTTTTGTCCGTACATATACTTAAGGCTAAAGTAGTTATCAAAATAAATAATTTATTAAATATTGTTCTAATCATATATACCTACAGAGTATATTAAGGATACGTAAATTAATTTTCATAAAACAATGAAAATTAGGGAATTTTAAAACCAAATTATTGTAAGTCACTTTTCGGCTGCAGTGCTCCCTAAAAACTATAAAAAATGTTTATCAAAATAAATATATTAACTAAAATATTTTTTTGGTAGGGTGATGGTGGAGCTCCCCTCGCTTGTCCTACAGGAAGGGATAACCGATATAAGCTATCCGGGCTCGTTGCATGGGGCATTGGTTGCGGGGAGAAGGACGTTCCCGCAGTATACGCCCGAGTGTCTATGTTCCGGAAATGGATAGATGACATCATGTTATCTTGGGGATACTCTACGGACGGATACACTTTGTATGAAAAGTGATAAATAAAATAGGATAGGATAAAGAGAATGTGATTTTTTTTACCTGTTTTTGTATTTGTTTCGAAAACAAATGATTACGTGAGTTCTTATTATTATATAATATTGTATATAAAGTAATACATTTCAAGTCTCTATCTCAAATTATAGTATTTCTAAATATCCGGATTATGGAATGTTAGCAAGAAAAATGTATCCTTGTATAATGGTTAGATAATTCTAATAATTACATATGGTTATTTAATAAAAGTTTTTTTATTTAAATGTTGTATCCGTAAATTATTGTTTTTTTATGTATATTTATTAAATTGATTAAATATATTTATTTATAAAAAAATTTTTATATATATTTATTTATAAAAAAAATTGACAACGTCACAACAAAATTTATTGTGTAATCAAAATTTATTTTGAAATATATCCGAAAACAACATTAAAAATTTAAGTAATAGTATAAAAAAATTCCGTGGTACCATTCAGACAAAGAGAGACCTAAGGAGGTTTGACGTCAGGCAGGCGGCCGGTCGTAAAACTTTTGCCAAATCCTATCAGCAGTAAAGAAGATGTACTGCGACCGACCCTAAGTGATTGGGAAATGGGCAGGGAGAAGAAGTTATTAAAAATAATATTTTTATTATTAAATAATGATAAGATTTATTATTATTTTTTCCCTTGCCCACAAATATTTGTTATTCAAACAATATTTTTATAATAAATATAAAATAGGTAATATATTACAGTAGCGACTGATAAAAAACCTCCATTCTGAATTACACTTTAAATTCGTTGAGCCTTACAACATGAAGTAATAAACGCACTCACATTTTTTTTTAAAAAGAACCCTATTCCACGGGAACCGTGCATTTTTTCGGAATAAAAAGTAGTGTTAATCCAGACTATAATTTATCTCTGTCTCCAGATCCGCTCAGCCATTTTGGCGTGAAAGAGTAACAAACATTAAAATATTAGTATAGATATTAGTGTGTTGTTTGAATTTCAAACTAATGTAGTAAAGTTGTACTTAAAAACATGGCCAATTTTTATTTTATTACTCCGTTTTAAAATGATGGTCAATTCATGTTAGTGTATCTGCCGTGTTATAAAGTAATTATTATGATCTACCAAATATATTAAAAAAATAGTTTATTAATTCAATAATGGGGTATATAGGTGCCTCGGTGATGTAGTAGCATCGGTGTAGCATGTACAGCTGCATAGGTCCTGGGTTGAGAGTCCCGTCCCCCGGGTCGGGCCAAGTTTAGTTATTGAGTCTTTCTATTATGGAAGTTACAGTAACAGCCTGGAGTTGGGAAGTTGGCGATGTTTTACCCCCGTGCCGAGGCAGAGCACGTAATTTTTGCGATTGAGCCCGTTGGTTTTGCTATTTAACTCTGGTCGTGTAGAGTAGTCGTCTTACCGAAGTATAAAGTAATAGGAATAGAGAGTGCACTTGTGTCTGCACGCATAGCATACTTGTGCAATTTATATATAAAATCTCCTGTGCAGATGGCTAGTCTTAATAATGTTGGCCGCCTGGGCCGTAATCGGTCGAGAGGATATTATATAATGTTGTAAAAGTAAAGATGAAACGAAAAAAAGTATCTACAAACTACAAAGTACCTACAATTATTACTGTTAAGTAAACTACTGTAATTTCAAAAACAGCCGCTAAGAAAAGCTAATGGTCATCTGCCACTGCGCAAAGACAGCTAAAATCTAAATATTTTACAATTAACAATTCGTTTTGATAAACTGTAATAATCGATTTCGGGAAACGAGTTTATGTGCCGTCCTTTAAATGTCAATGTCATTTTCATAATTCGTTGGCTCACAATTACAAGGTTCTATGTTAGAACAATTTTAGAACCAACTTATTTAGTTATCAATGCTACAAGGTTTTATGTGTCATTAGCTACAGTTTTGCAAAAACAAACTACTAGATAGCGGCACTTTAACTACAAAATATTCAATTTTACATAGTCCTATGTTGTCTTTTTTACGATAAAAAAATAACGAAGTTCTATGTAAAAATTACTAAACTTTATTAAAATTAACATAGAACCTTTCAATAGTGAGCCAACGAATGACAATTGTCATGTGACATGTCACAACAAATAAATGTCACAGAAGTTGTGAAAATTACAAAATGTTTGCTTATAAATGTATTTAATAATTTAAATATATGAGAAGGCATTAGCAAGAGATTTGAATTGAATTAAATATAAGAAATTAATCCTAAAATATGTCTCAATCAGCTCAAGTTGTCGATGGGGAAGCTTCAGAATCCGATTCTGAGATCGAAATTGGAAAGTCTCCTGTAAGTAAATAAACTTATAATCACAGCTTTAAAACGTGGATCTTTTTTCTGTATAATTGTATTAGATATTAAAGACAATATATATTTTTTACCTGTTTTCGTTATACGTTATTTTATTTTAACCACCAATATAAAACCTTTAATATACTCGATAACATATATGGATTTAAAACTTAAATAATGTTTTAGAATTGTATATTTCATTATTCATAGCCAAATATTATTGAAGGAATAAACAAAATACATTTTAAATACTTTAAAGAAATAGATAGTTTGATTATTAGTATAAATATTGTTAAACAATTTGGTTATTAAATTTAAATAAAATGTTTTATTTTTAAGTATTCATAACTATTTCTTAGATATATATAATAATTAATGCTTATTAATGATTTTTGTCATTTATTAAAAACCTTTTCAGGACACATCTTCATGCTCTCATGCATTTGTGATATCAGGAGAAGCACCAGAATCAGATGATGGTACTTACAATGTTAGGTTTTATGAACATACATAAGATTGACAAATAGTTTTATAACTTATATGTTTTTATATTTTAGAATGTAAAGTACCATCTCCTGATGTCAATGAAATAGATGCTCCTCTACACACATCTATGTTCCCGAGTTCACCCACAAAGTTGATACATAACTCAATACTTCATCAGAAATTGTGTAAGTATTAGGAAATATATTAATTCACATTAATTATTGTGTAGGGTACAAATGATGTAAGTGTCATTAATGTATCATCAATCATTAAATAATGAATGAATGAATGAATGGCTTAGCATAGTTTATATCGATGCACAAAACAAATTATTTTCTATACAAAGTCAAGTGTAACATCCTTTCATCCTAATGAGCGTTAAATTTTAAACAATCTCTCCAGTACTTATGTTACATTGGAATAATATATTCAATATTCAAATTAATCATACAAGGAGACATCCATTAATTACGTGAGCTCAAAAAGGGGGATGTAAAGGTTTTCATAAATCTCATTAAATCTCATTTAAACTGAGGGGTATAATTAAAACTCTCACATCTACTTTAAAAGAAATTATTATACAGGCAATAAAAACTACCTACCAAATCTCACTGAACCTCACCAAAGGGGAGGGAGAGGTCCAAATTATGAGAAAAACAGCTCACATAAATAATGGATGACCCCAACATGGTATTTTACTTTTTTTAATGTCTTTCAGGGGAATGCAATGTGTCCTTACGAGCCACAATAGAGGGTTTAGCAAAACATACAACAGACATATGCGTGGAGAAACTGACCAGCGCTGATAAAACTTTGCTTAATGTGCAGGTAAATTAATTTAGTTTGTATTTATTATTTAATGCAAGCATTAATAAACTACTTTAGTAAATACTATAAGTGTATATTTTAAGGTAGTTGGTTTTTTTTTTTTAATTATTAGTCCAGTAGGTTATCATCCTTTGGTGACAATGCAAGTGCCACTAACATTCAAGAGATGGCGCTATATGACAATGTCAGCGTGAGAGCAGATAGAAGAAGGCTCTAGTATAATCAATTGTAAAAAAATAGCTTTTATGTGACAAATTGTGTTTTTTTCATAAAAGATATTATAGAATAAAAGTATTATAGATATTAAAAAGCAAAACTTTATCTAAATACAAAATTTGATCCAAATCAGTAAAGCCGTTTCCAAGGTACAAGAAATACATTTATATATTAAATTATATGCAAAAATTGTTCATTTAATATTATAAATTATATCATATTATAATTCTCTTTCTAATTTGCAGGAAAGTATGAGAGCGACTAACGCTAATTTGACATTAGCTCGAGCGCGGCTGAAACAACTACATTCAGAGTTGGAAAAAGCTAACTGTTCAAGTGCATTGCCTACAGTTAAAATTAAATAATATTGCCAGTTGAAAATAAATTATTTTATGTCATTAAATAATCTTTAATTTGTGAAAATATAAATTAAAAATAAAATTAGTGATAATTTTTGTTATTTTTAGGAAATAAAAGGTTTAACTAATTTTAGGAAATAACTTTCCGTACCTCAAAAGGAAACAAGGAACCCTTATAGGATCAACATAGTGATGCTATAAGCCATAAGGTTTTGTCCATTTGTCTGTCTGTATGTCTGCCTCTTTGTTTGTCAAGAACCTTTTTCTCAGGAACGCGTGGTGGTATCAAGTTGAAATTAATATCAAATACTTAGGTTTGCACTCCCTTGGAGCTATGAAAAAATCAAACTTCTAAGTCAACGCGAGTAAGCTCATTTCTAATAAAAAAACAATCAAAATGGCTGTTCATACCGCATATTTGATAAACCCAATATGTAAGATTGGATTTTAGTCTGGATTAACCAACTTCCAAAAAGAGGTATGTTCGCCGATTTCTCGGAGGAGGAGCTTAACTGATTTTGCCACTTTAAACTGCATACTATTAAGGTATGTTCCAAGGTGGTCTCGTTTTTTATACAGAGTCTACCGTTTTCGTGAAAATCCCTTATAAAGTTATAACAGAACACTTCCCTCCTTACCTCTACTTTCCATCATTTACCCTCAACGACCGCGAACACGCTGGCGTTAAAGTTAACAATAGATTTCTTAGAAATTTAATTAATTTCTTAGAAATTTACCTGGAGGTGTTAAGAGATAACAATACACACATATAACATTTCTCATTTTAATTAATGAAAACTATCAAAAATTAGTTTTGTACCTTGTTGATACATATTGTAAAGGAGGGATAAAATTGAAATAAAACCACATAAAAACATGAAGAACTCTTTTACTATCAGTTGTAACGTGGACGTATTGACACAGCGACAAATATATTTACAATAATTATTTCACAATAACGTTTACACAATCCATGCATTACCCGACAATCGAAAAAACGATATATGAAAAAAACATTTTATTCTCCTTAAGCCTCCCAAGAATGCAATAAATATAACAACCTATATAACACGAGGCTCATGGATATATAATTTTAATAAATAACGTGACATAGACTTTTCATTAAATAAAGATTTGATTGGGTTTCATTTAAGTTATAGGTGTATAGATAGATTGGATTTGTATAGGAAAAAATTTTTTTTTCTAGTCCAAGAGTCGATTGCTCATTTATAAAGTTAACTGTGGTTAGGTCGAACTAGATATCTTCTATATTCTTATTGTGTGTGTTGTATCCAGCCCTTTTTTAACGTCCCACTGCTGGGCACGAGCCTTACTTCAGTACGGTTGGCGGACTTCACATGTCTTTTGAAAACTTGCTAGGTTCTCTCAGACATGCAGGTATCCTCACGATGTTTTCCTTCACCGTTAAGACAAGTGGCAATCATGTTGGAAATAATTCGCACATGAAAATATCAGAGGTGCGAGACCCGGGATTTGAACTCGCTTCACTCGGTTTCCCAAGCGAGCGCGTTCCCATTGGGCTACCAATGCCTTATACTTATTACCCATAACAAATAAGATAAAGTTAGTAATTTAAGTATTTTCAGTAAAAACGCCTTGATAATATTCACAATCCCCTTCTGCTCGCTTTGTTCTACAAAATAAATATAATATATGTAACGTAGACTATTGTGCAGTTAAGTTCTGTCAAAATGTTTACACATTTTCATTATATATTTTTATAATTGTAAAAAATATATAAATGAATAACCAAATAATCCGAAAATTGAAACTAAATCCACATAAATTTTAACAGAGTCACTTTACTGATAAGCGAATAAATCAAGACATCGTCTCATAGACTATAATAACATGAATACTTTATATAAGAACTAAGTGCATAATGGAGTCGAATTTCTTATTTCTTTTTTTTTAGGATACAATGTTAAATAATTGACTATAAATTATTAATTTGATTCACATTGGCATGTAAAGGATTTTTTGTTTAACATATTAAGTATATTATGCACATTTATCGATTCTGGTCCATAATTATTCTATTATTGGACTAAGAAATATTTTATTTTTCTATGAATTACTTGATGTTTTTGAAATTATACTTCTTTGACGTTTGGAAAAACTTATGAGAGTAAAATTTTTACGACACGCGCGCACACCGACAGCCAAAAAGCAACATGATGAAGTAAGCTGATAACTGCTTGTCGCCATGATAATCGTCGTTGTTATTGTCTGGCAAATGTTATATAATATTATATTCTTTCCTTAAATGATATTCTATAAATACCTATATGATTGTAATATGCCTTATTTAATGATTTTATTATTATGATATTAATCTATCATTCCTTTTACAAACAGAGAGTTGTGACATACGGGATGAAATCTTTAGCTATTTTTGTTCTCTTACGCCAAAGAAGTATAACTTCTTACGTGCATATACACAAACACGTTTTTTTTATATACATATTATATTAGGCCAATGACAAACAAAATGGACCAAAATCGTCTCCCAATAATTGTAGAAGTTAATACTTATAATATAACACAGATTATATAATTTATAATATAAAATCTGAAAAATAAAATAAAATGATTGTTTCAACATACAAATATATTATTTTAAAACAAATTTAATGAGTAACATTAAATTTAAAGATATTTAATAGTCTAATTTATGACAAAATAGATTTTAGGGTTTAAATATAATATTGCTTGAATTAATAATAAAATAATTGCGACAATAATATTAAGTTTTCCGTGATTATTATTAAAGTTCACTCGGTTATAAGATAAAAGTTTATTTTTTCTGTTTTGTTATAAACTATGACACATCATAGGACCGAAACGAACGATTTTTTTAATGGCGCTATATTTTTTTAATATTTAATAAAATAACACTCCCTTCTTTTGTCACTAGTGTAATATTACAGAAAGTCCATTGAATAACCAAGATGAAGTAACACATTTTTAAAGTTACCGAAAATAATTTCGTGCAAATTTAAAACGTACACCTCCAGCCTAAAAAAAGTTTTCATAGCTTAAACTGTTTAAAAAAAAGTAAGATGGTCATTTTCCGTCAAACAATTACTTAATATTTTTTTAAGTTAATAAATATTTTAATAACAACCATTTTTTTTCTTAAATAATTTAAATTTCTTTAAAAACAATAATAATTAAAACCTCTATCGTCCCACTAGGGCATAGGGCCCCCTCTCAATGCGAGAAAGCGTAGCCCATAGTAAATAGTCCACGCTAGCTAATTGCGATTTGAAATTTTTATGGACTTCACAAGTCCGATAACTAGTGAGAATCTTTCAAGTTTCCTCACGGTTTTTTCTTCGCCGTACTAACAAATTTATTTCAAAAGGGAGTGTCTCTGTTCATATCTGGTAAGAATTTTTATTTTATTTTTATCAAACATAGAGTGAAGCCTTAAGTAAATGCAATAAAATGTTGCCTTACACAATTTCAGTCGTAAACTACTTTAATCACACCCAAACAACATGCCAATAGTTACTAGTTATAATTCATAAGACAGGGCTATTAGGCTCACAACACACTATCCCTCTATACAATAATAATATATTTATATATATATTTATTGTAAGGTTGCATTTTTATATATTGAGTGTTTTAATAGAAAATAATATATTTGATTAATTTGTAATGATTTATGTATAAGGCATTTACTTATGTGACCTTGGCCGATCGGAATGCGTTTAAAAAAAATAAAATAAAGGGCGCGGATATTCATTTGTTTTCCCGCGCTTTTGCAGAGAGATGTCGGTACCACCCTTACTGAATATAAGAATATAAGCAAGGAATATCTCGAAATTTTATTAGGGACCCAACATTATATAATAATTATATATTTTTTTTAATAAAAAATTTGTAATAAAAAATGTCTGCAATGTTTAAGATATAGGTACATCTATATTATTTTATATTGCAATAAAAATTAAAGCTAAAATTAGATATTACTATTATAAAATGGCTCTTTTATATTTCATGGTTGGATACAATTTTTTTGTTATAAAAAAATCTGATTTATGCGTTTGATGTACGCATTTCAAGTGTCGTTATATAATTTTTAACTGAATATTTTTTTTCATATTTCATTAGTGCTAGCTAATAACTTCTTGAAAAAACTTAGTTATTCAAGACGTTTGCTTTGATCTCGTCAGATAAATCTGCTTTATTCCTTACTTTAACGGTTGAATTTTAAATACATCTTTCATGGCAATTGCCATTAAATTTTTGAACAAAATTTTAATCATTTTATATCAAATCATATAAATATTTTTAATTATTCATGAACTGTTATAAAGGTATAATGTGTTATGATACCTAAATTAATATGTTACTTATTTTCTAGAAAAAGCTTAAAGATTCATTAAAATTTAAAAACAATCAACAGAATTTATTACAATTAGGAAAATTCACTACAAATTATCTCCAATAGAAATATTGAAAATGGCATTTAAAAATTATTGTAAGTACATATATATTATTTATTCATTAAAAATATTTTGGTGTTCTTGTTTTTGAGTTAAACACAGATACAAAATATTATATAGTTATAATATATTTTTTACATATTTTATGCGATGAATGGTTGCTCAACGTATAAATTTTTTTATTCGTTCAAAATTGAATTTTTGAACAAATAATTTTAACAAAGTTTTGCAATTAAATTAACTAAAACATTTTCACATCGCTCTAGAAATATTCAAATGATTAAATCGATATTATCTAAAGCATTTAATAATTATTATGATATGGTTTTAAAATTGCTTTAACTCAATCGCGTTTTTTATTACATTTAAAATATTTCTAACAATATCTATTTTCACTCCAAGTACATTAATGACCTGAAGTAAAAATATGTTTTAAATAAAATATTTTTTAAGATTATAAAATATAAATCCAGTATATAAACACTGAAAACACGTCAATGTTATAATAAAAATAATTTAATAACGTATCATAATATATTATTTTACCACTTTTCAAATTTTAATAATGTAAAGCAATAATTATAGAAAGCAAGACCTACTTTTTGTTTTAAATTAGCCTCATTTTGAAAATACACGTATCTTTGCAGTATAATTCAAAAAAAAGGTATTTTTAATAAAAAAATAATAGGAAAAAAAATAATTGTGACTCAATTTAAAAGATGACGAGAGCAAAAAGACGTCAAGGGCGTCCATGTATAGCCTTAGAAATAAGTAATTCGGTGTAGATAGAGCGAAATAAAATATAAATGTCAAATTTGTTTTTCGAAAAATATTTTCATCGTAAGCGTATCAAAACGTTTTTGGTATATTATATCAATAAAATAAGCAATTACATTTCTGAAGGAGTTTTTACCCTGTTGGATTGGTTCGTGAAATCAAAGCTAAAAAATACTAATAATTTTAAAAAAAGAACAACATTTTTTTAAACGGAAACAGTCTAAGGGCTAAATCTAGACACTTCTACAGGTAAAAACGACTTTAGTTTTGGGGTCTATGTTATAAGTTACTATCTACAATAATTATGACCACAAACACGGAATGGTCGTCGCGATTATATAACGATGCATCATGAGATAAAAGTTCGATTAATCGAGTTATGCAAGAATTGCTTTGAAATAAATAAAAAAAAGTATTATAAATTACACTGTTTACCTTTTATTTTTGATCTTAGAAAAAAAATGTTTTCTTTACGCTGTTATTAAAAAATTGTAATATTTTTTGTATTATTTTATTCTATAGAATTTATTATTTTCTTTACCTCAAACCTGAGATATTACTCAAAAAATCAGAACTTTTTATCCCCATGATGATTAGCTAAGTGTAAAAGAGCACTTAAGTTTTTTCTTTTCTTGCCATCTCTACACGCTCGTGTCTAATTTTCAACAACTAAAACATTCCAATAAATCTTTAACGATATTGCCTTATATTTAATAAAACCCTATTAATAATTAATTAATGAATTTGTGTTATGTAGATTTATTTTTTGATACCTACGTGTAAAGACAGCATTATTTCGCACTTTTTACCTATCGCTAAGCCATTCTACATGTAAGTGCTAAGAACATCTGAACTATGACAGTCTACATGAAAATTTTACTCAACTTTAGCGATATCTAATTATCAACACATATTCGCAGTAACTTTTACAATTTAATTTATCTAAAAACGAAATAATTCGTCCAAATTAATTCGTGTAGAAAAGTCCTTTAGGCGTTTAAAATACGCTTTTTATCGATTATTTGAAATATATTACTATATTATGTAAAATAAATAATAGGTAATAAAGGACTTCTGTGCACGATTCACTAAAACGTTTCTAAAATACTCGTAGTTCGAATGGTAGTCGATACTTCATATTTATATGTAAATCTTCATTGGAAATTGAAAAAAATATTAATATTTGAAGTTTATTTTATGGCTCTGATCTTCATATTTCATTCCAAATTGGCAAAAAAATTTTTTCGTAAACGTCGCTGAATACGCATTTTTAAATTTAAGTTTGTGTTTATGATCTGTAAAGATTATAAATTGTTTTTAAAAGTAATTTAAAGGTCATTCTTTATAATAACAATATCTATGATAAATAAAAATAAATATACATAAAAAATAACCGTCAATTTTTGCCGCGCTTTTTTATGTCAATTTTGTAACCCCCCTTTTTGTAAAACATTTGAAGTATAATTTTTAGCCATAGATACAAATATTTTTTTGACCAATCTCCCTATGTCTTCTTCTTTCGAAGTGACAATAGCGAAGTAATCTGTGTAGTAACTAGCACGTTTCGAAGCTATCAAAAAAAAACAATTTTTTAATATAAATGAAACTACAGAGCACATTTGATTTTAATTTCCAATGAGGTTTCAACAGTTTAGAAGTTGAACAGCAACACGCTACGTATCTTCGGCTTGAGCGTGTTGTAAACATGTTCCAGTGTGGCGAGGTAGCGCCAGCACGCGCGCCACCACGTGTCACGGGCGTCGCACTGACATATCGTGTGGTATCTTCGCTTTATTACGACCCTGGGAATATGGAAAATATTATTTATTTTAATAATAAATATCAAACTAATTTATATTGATATCTTTTTATAATAATATTAATGACTGTATAATTTGTGGGTAGACACCCACTGTAATAAGTATGACTTTTAAGATGCCAAAAGAGTAAGAAATATTTAGAGCCGAAAATCAAAATAAAAATAAAACCGCGAATATTCTAAAATTAAGTACATATCTAATAAAAAAAACTTTTCTGGACATAAGACAGAACTAACATATTGTTTCCTTTTTCACGCTTGGAAGTCAATCATTGTTAGATTATTGTCAATTTAGCGATTTTTTCGCAAAAAATTGCTAACATAAAAAAACTCTTTCTTTTTTACTACGTTAATAAAAAAAACATAATGTTTTTTTGTGTTACTGTTTCTTTCTGATTTTGGTTTTTTTTTTCAGAAAAAAATCTATAGGATTTTTTTTTTGAGGTATGTTTTCTAACATTTTACATTTTACTAAAATTACAAATCGAATTAAGTATAATGAATCAATTAAATATAAATTTATTCTTCTTCTGTGTCAATGTCAGTACCTCTTTCAGTATTAGTGCCAACACTAGTCTTGTACTTGTCAGTGTCGGAATTTTCACATGTAAGCTAGTTACTATTCAACCAAAAAAGTATGGTAGGCCGTAGATTTAAAAATAAACAAAAAACTCTAATATGAATTCTTAAATGCTAATCTTTTACGGATATTACCTTAATAAATTTAAATTCTGTATTCTTGAAAAAAAAACAAGCTCCAGAAAAAAAACGTGTTTTTTTCATGTTTTTTTTTCACGATAGAAAAGAAACAGTTTTTCATAACTATAGTCTGGGTTCATAGTCGGTACAGGCGGACGGATAAAATTCTAAGATAATAAGAAGAAAATAATAAGATTAATATTACATTTTTTTTATTCAAACATTTAATGTACAAATATGAAAACGGCACAATTTTATTATAAGAACCCGCGGCTTCGCTCGCGCTAAAACTACAAAAAAATCTCTAAAAAGGTAGGTTTCATACAAACGTTTAACTCCTATTTTATCCCCTTATAGGATGAATTTCGAAAAATGCTAAAACACGTATTTATTTAATTTTATTGAAGAGCATTTATACCAAATTTGAAGTAATTCTGATCATAAATATTTTGTTGGCTTGTATTATAACGTGTTTCCTGTGGTTCTCCCGCGGTAAAAAGTATCCTATGTCACTCTCCAGCCCTCCAACTATCTCCACACAAAAAATCACGCCAATCCGTCTCTCCGTATAGACGTGAAAGAAGGACAATCCAACAAACACACTTTCACATTTATAATATTAGTATGGATTTACCTCGAGTCGCGCGCCTGCGCCGTGTCACTCTGACGTCATAGCACCGTGTCGAACATCTGCAAAGATCGAGTGATCACATCGTCTTTCAAACATGACTCCAAGAATTCTTCGATTGTAATCACGCCATCTTGATTCAAATCAAGCTTCCTGAACACACGGTCCACCTGGAAAATTATTATAATTTTTGCTTATTTATAAAGACTTTGTGTACGTGCAACATAGAAAAAAAACAAAAAATTAAATGCAGTATAAAAATTTCAAAGTTGCCCAATAAATCGGATATTGGAAACCACTCACTTGTTCATTGGCCTTAGCATCATCAATTCTTGCTGCAGGAGACCCTGGAGGAGCTCGCCTGCCAAGCAGCTCATGGACCGCCACCACCACCTCAGCTAGCTCCTGCCTGGTGATGGCGCCGTCACCATCCACGTCGTACAAACGGAACGCCCAACGAAGTCGTTCATACACTGATCCGCGGAGGAGAGTCGATAAAGTGACAAGTAATTCCTGAAAATTTTGGGAATAAATGTTTAATATTGTACCGTTTATATTTAATTTATTTACAGTTTACATAATAGGCAAAAAACAATTTTTATATTTATCTGGACATGGATATATCTATAATTAAGAAAAAGAATTCCTAAACCAGATTGCACCTAATAAAGTTATAAGATACACTTAGTATTTTAGTCTAATACTCTTGTATTTTCAGAAAAAAAAATGACAATAAATGTCAAAATAAAAATGTGTTAAAAATCAAAATTTATTAAAATTTATATAGTAAAATAAACTTTGATCTTTTAAGAAGACTATTGAAATGCCTCAAAACATTCTCAAATTCAAGGGACCAAAAATGAATATGCTTTGGAATTACATATATTTAACAAAATTAACGCTAAATTGGATATTGAAACATCGCTCCAAATAAAATTAAGATAAAAACTGTAAGTGTCGTAGAAGACGATCCTGTGCTGGTTATCGCACCTCGGGTCTTTTGCACGATGTTGGTAAACAACAGCATTCCCAAAGAGGGTTGACATCAGGCAGGCGGCCGATCAGAAAACTTGCCAAAACCGATCAGCAGTATGGTAGACGTATTGCGCCGACCCTAAGTAATTTGGGAAATGGGCAGGGGGACTCTTGTATTTTCAGAGTACTTCCACCTTTTACGAAATAATCTGACCTCAACAAGGCATGTTCTTAAGTTATTAACAAGAAAATTGAATTGAATTTTTAAATTTATAGATAATAAGATACCTAATGAAGGTTTGACTGAATTCGGTCACGGAGGCAAATCTTATTGAAAGACAAGCCAAGCACGCGAGGCATTATCGTTCATAAGTGCACTCTCTATTCCAATAATTCTCAAAGTTTGATTAACCCAGTGAGAGATGAGGTGCAGGTTTTACGTGCTCTGCCTCAGCAATCAGCATATGGGTGTAAACACCACCAACTTCCCACTGCTACTGAGACTTGACAGAAACACCCAATAACATGACCTGAACAGGTATTCGAACCAAGGACCCTCAGTACCTGCAGCCGTTCATAGCTAGCTATTAGACCAACGAGTATATGTAAAGACTATATAGCAAGACTGAGTATACCAGCATTGTGCGGTTAACAATCGATGTCAAACACATGACATCATTTATTCATTAGTAATTGAAACGTGTGAAAGCTCCAACACACGCTTTGTAAGCGTCAATCTTTTTTATTCAGAATTTATTTCAAAAGCACGTTATTAATGAAAATTAATTCTTAGAAATACGAATTTATTTATACTGTAAATGTAGCGTGCTACCATTGACGAATGGGTTTCAAAGCTAATTGACTTTATAATACTATTAGCAGAACCCGCGGCTTCGCTTGCGCTAAAATTACAAAAAAAACTCTTTGCCTTTATGCTATTAGTAATAATGTATGGAAGTCTGCTCGATTTGTTGACATTTATGATTACTGCTCCGCTCCCTTGGGTAGTAGCGTGATGATATATAGCTTATAGCCTTCCTCAATAAACGGGCTATCTAATGTAAAAAGAATTTTTCAAATCGGATTAGTAGTTCCTGAGATAAGCGCGTTCAAACAAACAAACTAACAAATAAATAAAAAAAAACAGAGAAACAAACTCCGCCTCTTTATAATATTAGTATAGATAAGTGAAATATTCTTTAAATTATTGGTGACATAATTTTTTGCTAACATCGTTCCTGCGCCTAATCTCTTCCTGATCGTGCTGAATTGGCGTTCCGTAAATATATAAGATGCAGAAGGTCTCGTTGAGATAAGCCGTGTCCGAAATCAATCAGAAAGACTTTATTTAATAAAAGACCTACGTTCTATACATATAATAAAATTCTAACTGAGTCGAATCTGTACATTAAATATTTTTTCTATTCGATATAGATATTTTCTATAAGGAAAATCTTATTGAAATCCTACTCATTATTATCAATACAGAGGCCGATTTTATAGTTTTTAGAATTTTTGACTGTATCTGCCTGTCCGTCTGTCTGTCTGGGAATGCATCACGAGAAAACCACAGGGCAGCTTTTGATGAAATACGGTATGATGGTAGCTGGTTATCCGGGTCAACATTTAGGATACTTTTTAGTGCGGGAAAATATCTCATCTTTGAGAAATCTATACTATACGTTAAAACGTAAGTAGGGACGAACCCGAGCGGAGCGAGGGTGAGTCACTAGTTCGTGTGTAAGATCATAGAAGAACTACCTACGAGTATATATTTTTATATAGATTTATTTAAGACGTATTAAAAGTATTTTTATTACATCACATAACAACATAAATTATATCAATAGGTACTCGTAAATATAATAAAATTGTAACTAAGCCGAATCTGTACATTAAATATTTTTTGGAAAATCTAATTGGAATAGACATTATTATCGATACAGAGTCCGGATCTATAGTTTCTAGAATTTTTGTCTGTCTGTCTATTACCGCATCACGAGAAAACCACTGGACAGATTTTGATGAAATTTGGTATGATGATAGCTGGATATCCGGCTCAACATATAGGATACTTTTTACGGGGGGAAAATATCTCATTTCTGAGAAAAAATACAAAAACTGCATTGTAAGAGTATACTTATATGTAAAACCTAAGAATTTGGTTTTTAGTCATCTGAACACGGGCGGAGCCGCGGGCAATGTTAGTACTAAAAAAAATTTTATACTACACTTTCGACATCCAATTCAGCGGCCGGATTAATCGCGTGGAAAATACAACAATAAACGTGACAATTCCAAAACAAATCTAGCAAATAGATACTTGGCACCAACTTAGCCGTAAGAAAGCAATCCGACATGATGGAATATAAGGGGTTGGCGTATCTCCAATACTCTGGCAAACGTCTCCCTCGGAAATATTCTGTTGAAACAATTTTACCCCAGTATTTATAAACGTGTAAACAAAACATTCAGTAGTGTCTGTATGACATACACAAGTAACAGCTTTAGGTCATTTAAGAGGTAAAAAAGTTATCTTAATTAATAAATACTAGTTTTTGTCCGCGGCTCTTCTCGTATTTTCCTAAGAGTTGTATGATGTTAGATAGCTTATAACCGTTCTTAATAAATAGTCTATAAAAGTTGGCTTTGCCGGTTAGTTCCACACCTTGTGCCTAAATGCATTTCCCAACAAAGGTAGTTCTGTATGTTGGCGAGTACAAAAATAAAATTAATCACACTTCTCTACATCGATGCTAATATTATAAATGTGAAAGTGTGTTTGTTTGTTTGTCCTTCTTTCACGTCGAAACGGAGTGACGGATTGGCGTGATTTTTTGTGTGGATATAGTTTGAGGACTGGAGAGTGACATAGGCTAATTTTTACCGCGCGAGGTTATCTCATACCCACGATAAAATACGTTATAATACAAGCCAAAAAATATGATCAGAATTACTTTAAATTTGGTAATTATGCTCTTTAATATAATTAAATAAACACGTGTTTTAGCATTTTTAAAAATTTATTCTATAAGGGGTAAGATAGGGGATGAAAGTTTGTATTAAACTACCTTTTTAGAGTTTTTTTTGTAGTTTTAGCGCGAACGAAGCCGCGGGTTCTGCTAGTATATATATAAATAGGCAAAGACAAAACAGTTCAATATCTTTTTCTCTTCTGTTTATCAAGCGATTTTCTTTATTTCATTTAGTAGCTATTGCCGAGCTTTAGTGTTACCAAAAAAAAAAATACGAATTACAAACACTGAGCCATATTAAATTTATACTAAAACTAGCTAGCTACTAACGTTTTAACGTTTAGTATCGATTTCTCAGAGATGAGATATTTCCCCCCGTAAAAAGTATCCTATATGTTGACCCGTATAACCAGCTATCATCATAGCAAATTTCATCAAAATCCGTCCAGTAGTTTGTCCGTGATGCGGTAACAGACAGACAGACAAAAATTCTAAAATTCGTCCTCTGTATCGATAATAATGTCTATTTCAATAAGATTTTCCAAAAAATGTTTAATGTACATATTCGGCTCAGTTACAATTTTATTATATGTATAGATAACGTCACGAGTAAAAGCTTCCTTTAAATTAGAAAGGGGAAATGTTCTAGAATTCACGATGACTACGATACTTAAAGTATAACTTTGTATCAAAATAATCTGAGCTATTGAAGGCGAATGGTATTTTAGTGCTGACAAAGTTCGACTACAGCGTCTCCAAACTTCAAATATTACATAACTTCAAAATTTACTTCCACCCCAATTTGCTCACGACGAAAACAATTTGCAAGATAAATTTGATCAAAACAAGTACTAAATACACAATCAGCGACAAAAAACGTCCTCACCGAATGTGCGCTCATTTGAACATTTGAGCGCACTTTTTTTTTGTGAAAACAACTTTAAGCATTGCATTTAAGGTTCAATTTGCATTGTTGTATATTTATTTCAACTAGAATAATTACCTAAACACAATTGGTGACAGTTTTAAGAGAACTTTTGCATGGGATTGTGTATCTGTAAGTGTACTTCTTTGATCGATGAAGATAAATTACCAAAAGCACGTTAGTAACTTTAGGCCGATCCACACTATACGGCCTATCATAGTCCGTTCTCGGTCCCATATCGATCTGGTAAAATATTTTTATACAAGAAACGATCGATCTTACTGATAGTGTGATACTAGAAATAAGGACAAACTAATAACGGCAAGCTTTCGTCTTTAAACAGTGAATAAGTCTTTTGTAGGAGAATTCTTCTATTCTACTAATATTATAAAGAGTAAAGTTTGTGAGTTTGTGACGTTGTAGGAGGTAATCTCTGGGTCTACTAAACCGATTTAGATGAAATTTGGTAAGAAGATAGTTTGAGACCCTGGGAAGGACATGGGATACTTTTTATCCCGGAAATAATCCCTCAAAGGGGTGAAAACGGGGATGAAAGTTTATGTGGGGATTCAAGCCAGGGACGAACCCGAGTTCCCCCCCAACGTGCGTTCACCTTGTCGTGGTGGGGGGGCTCAGTAGTGTAATCGCGAAGCCAAGAAACGCACAGGAAGGTGGCCCGCTTCGGTGGGCGGTGGGAGGCGGCCTTCTTCGGAGGGCGGTGTACCATGCGGGTTGCTCCTGGTACTTCTCTGATAGCAGAGTGGACCGTGGAGCAACCCCATGGTTGTTGTGGTCTGCTTCGGCAGACCTGCCGTCGGGGCGTCATAGTTGAATGCGTAAGCGATCCTGCGACGCCCCATTAAGACGGGGGAAGGTTTTGTTGGGTTTTAGTGGGTAGTACTGGCTTCGCCGGTGAGTCCCACACTTCGTGCGTAAATGCATTTCCCAACGTTAAAAAAAAAAAAAAAGGGACGAACCCGAGCGAAGCGAGTCGCTAGTAATTTATAATATTACGATCTATAATATCCCATAGGTATCATGTTATAAGTATAACGTAAACGCCCTATCGTAGGTTCCATCGAAATCTTTTCAGCACAGGTATAGATAAATTGAAAATGCACAAAACATAGTAATAGGATTCCGTTGACACCCTTCGGATACGGAACCCTAAAAAGCTCTTTTAAATGTTAAAGTAACTGTCTGTTTGTATGATAACTCTTCACGCTTATCCACTAAACATATTTTGATGAGATTTGGCAATGAAAGAGATTCCATCATGGGAACGGATATATCTCACCCCGCTTTCATCCCACCATGCAAGACGCGGGCAAAGACTAGTATTAAATAAATTAAACAATTTATCAGGTTGCCATTAATTTTACCTATCAAATAAATTTTATTTGCTTTATGGCTCTACTGGGATGAGCTCCACAATATTGCCCGTTGAGATTAATAAATTTAACCGAAAATTATTTATTTATTTCAAACAACCCTCTGGGGTAATAGCTTACGTAAAAAACCGGTCAATTGCGAGTCGGACTCGCACACGAATGGTTCTCTATCATTGTACAAGATATAACACTGTATTTTTTTAATTTGCATGGCGGCTATTTTGAAACTACCTATTTTGGTTTTTTATTATTTGTTATCATAACGGCAATAGAAATACACTCTGTTAAAACTTCAACTTTCGACCTATTACAGTTCATGAGATACAGCTCGCTGACAGACAGACGGACGGACACCGTAGGCTGGTAATACGGTATCGTTGGCAATCTCCGCTTCGAATACGAAACTCTAAAAATAAACGCGAAAAAGCTGAAAAATTGATAATCCTATGTATAACTAGCGACTCACCCTCGCTCCGCTTTTTAACGGTTAGTATATAATGCAAATTTTTGAATTTCTCAGCTTTTCTATACTATAATATGATTACACATATATATAAAGCTTTCTCTTGAATCACTCTATCTATTGCTGAAAACTGCATTAAAATCCGTTGAGTAGTTTAAAAGATCGAAGCGAACAGACAGCGGAAGCGACTTCATTTTATACTTTGTAAAGATGTACTAAGTAGGTTAGCTTTTCTGAAAAACTTCCTTTCCTTTTTAAATTTCATTTTTATATAAGATCATAATTTTTTTTCTATAGGTACTTCGTCCCGGCACCTACTGAGTCCAACTATCGTTAAAACCCATCCAAATGACCAAATACAATAAATGTTTTATCAATATCGGTCACTAACTGTTTTTAAAGGAGAAGAATTACGAACACACGTACACCAGAATTATATAATAAAATATTAAGATATACCTACAATCTACATACATTTTATATCATTTCTATGCAAAATATCATACATTCCAGCTTCATTGAATTTGCTTTAGAAGGATTGAACCCGTGACCCACAGCGAAGAAAAACTTTAGACGTATTTTATCTAACAACATTTTTTAAGTCGGAATTAAATTATTTTCTTACATTTTAAATATTTAAGCGTAATACAAGTTACAAGTGTTTTTCATTGAGTGTAAGAAGCTAATGTGAAAATTTTGAGTACCTTTAAACTACTTGTTGAAATTGAAAATACTTATTTAAATTCCTATATGGTTATTTGTATTTAGCATTTTTACCGTCCCACTGCTGGGCACGAAGTTCCCTTCAATGCAAGGGGGATCAGGCTATGGTCCACCACGCTGGCTAAGTGCGGGTTGGCGGACTTCACATGTCTTTCGAAAACTTGCTAGGTTCTTCAGACATGTAGGTTTCCTCACGATAAGACAAGTGGTAATCATGTTAGAAATAATTTGCACATAATTCGAAAATATCAGAATTGCTAGACCCGGGATTTGAACCTACTTCACACTGTTTCCCAAGCGAACGCGTTACCACTGGGCTACCACGGCCTTTTCAGTTTCAGTTATTCAGTGAATAATAATTCCCTCGAATATATGTCCACTTTGTTGATTGGGTGGTTCAAGCAGGGCGTAAAGCAAAGAGATGCACTTGGGAGTTGTCCCATCTCAGTTAGAGTTGGGAGGTACCAAGCAGGTTGCTCCTGGTACTGCTCCGATAGACGAACTCCTTAGTTTTTGCGATCTACTTCAGCTGCCAGCCGTTTAGGCGTCGTGGTTGAGTGCGTACGAACCTACGACGCTCCATTAAAGCGTGGGAGGTCCTGTTGGATATTATTGGGTAGTACTTTTTAAAGAAAACATGTATAAATATAATAAAATTCTAAGTGAGTCGAATCTGTACATTAAATATTTTTTTGGAAAATCTTATTGAAATAGTCATTATTATTGATACAGAGACCGAATCTATAGTTTTTAGAATTTTTGCCTTGTCTGTTTGTCTGGGAACGCATTACGAGGAAACCACTAGACAGATTTTGATAATATTTGGTATGATGATAGCTGGTTATCCGGGTCAACAAATAGGAGACTTTTTACTGCGTGAAAATATCTCATCTCTGAGAAATATATACTAAACTTTAAAACGTAACTCGGGTCTCATCTCTGAGAAATCTATACTAAACGTTAAAACGTAAGAAGGGACGAACCCGAGCGGACCGAGTGTGAGTCGCTCATATAGAATAAACAAATTCTCATTATATAGAACACGCTATATCATTGCGATCAAAACAAAGGCGCAAAGTAAGGATACGTGACATTTACTCAAATTTAAGCTGTGGACTTGAGATAAAAACAAGAAAAGAGTGTAAATTAACGCTTTTTCCCTTGAGGATGATGAAATTTATTATACATTAACATTATTTATGATAAATATATATTTTTTGTGTGGTAACAATTATATTTATTTATGCTATAGACGTCAGATTCTTTAGTGACTGAGTTTAAAACTTTTTAGTACCTACTCGATTTGTTTGTATGATTTTGTGGGTCTGTAACGTTATTTCTTATTAGAAGATCAGCCTAAAAAATAAAAATCCTATTCCGTTTCTAAGTTTTGATATTTACAAAAAAAAGCAGATGGCAAACGAGCTTACGACCTGCTTGAAGGTAAGAAGTGGCCGATATCGAACTAGTTGTTGCTTAAAAATTTTAAAACGAAATAAAAATTATAACATTATAGTGTGAACTCACCCTAAAACTGATGGCGCCACTGCAATTGACGTCGAAGGCTTTGAACACATAATGCGCGTACAATGCTGAATCTGAAACGTTTAGTACATTATCTATACATATAAACATGCTGTCCTCTTAACCCTTCGGTTACGGCTGCCAATCTCCTGAGATTACCAATCTCCTTGGGATAAATGTGTATAATATTAGTATATTTGACGATACGTTTGGCTCAGTTTGTAGTGACCCTACTTGCTGTGCTAACGGTCGCGGGTTCGAGTCCCGCTGATATATTTTTTAAAAACTATGATAGTAAGTACCTTTTAGAAATATGACTTAAATTTATAAAATAACCCTTTAATCTACTGTGCATCCATTAAATGCTAAGATATTGATAATAAAAAAGAGAATGTTCTTTTTTTATTGAAAGTCGAATACCTCAGGCCTCACCTCTCGAGACCATAAAACATACTTTTCTGCTCGGAAATGGCATAATCGGAAATCAACATTTCAATTTCATTTTTTTAATTTATTATAATTAGGTATTTCGAAGATTGCATTCCCTTAGTTTCATGGAAATCAAAAGATTATTCTAGAAATTAAAAATAAAATAAAAACCAAGAAATCGGTGCAGTTGTTTTTGAGTTTATCGCGAACAGATAGACAGACGCGGCGGAGGACTTTATTTTATAATATGTAGTGATTTTTAGAAATCAAAATTCTGAACATAATTTGGTTCCTATACCTTTTCTCGATATTTTTCTAACCTTTTTATATCGATATCGTCGCTATTCCTTTAACATAATGTTGGTAATCGTCTGAACTTTTTGACTGGCATCAAAAGTAAAATTGCTTATAAAAACTTAAAAAAAAACTGACTTCCACCTGGGAAGTATACCCTTCGAAACAAAAAAAAATCCAAATCAGTTCAGGCGTCTTCGAGTAATCGGTGAACATACATAAAAAAAAAGATTCCGACGAATTGAGAACCTCCTCCTTTTTGGAATTCGGTTAAAAACGAACTTTAGCAGGTTAACTTATTAGGCCGACAAAAAGATTTTGCTTAAACAGTTAGGTTTTTTTTATAAATCTAAGTGGTCTAATACTTACTTCCGTGCGGGAAGAATTTAGCATATATATCTTTGAAGGAGTCTTCATGAACTACACCCTCAGGACATTCCTGTAACATAAATAATAATTATTATAAAAAATAAAAAAAAAATTACATAGCGTATTTGTTAAAATTTATCAAATCAGCTATATTCTAGTTTTTACTAGCCATTACAGATGCATTATAATAAATATATCCCTGCGACATCTATCTATACATGTAATAAAATTCTGAGTCAAATCTGTACAGTAAATATTTTTTGGAAAATCTTATTGAAATTGTCATTATTATCGAAACAGAGGCCGAATCTATAGTTTTTAGAATTTTTGTCTTCGAAGATCACGAGAAAAACACTGGACTGATTCTGATGAAATTTGGTATGATGATAGCTGGTTATCCGGGTCAACATATAGGATACTTCTTACTGCGGAAAAATATCTCATATCTGAGAAATCTATCCTAAGCGTTAAAACATAAGTTAGGACGAACTCGAGCGGAGCGAGGGTGAGTAGCTAATTGTTAGTACATATATTTAAAGTTTAAAGCTTTCTAAAACCAGCTATTTGGTTTTGACTTCGTAAAATTACACTTGCACAGTCAAACTACGATCGTATAAAATGAAAAATAACAATGGAATGGAGAGTGGACATGGAAAATATGGACAGCGCTTTCTGAAAGTTTGAATGTTTTTAATTTAAACATTTGCACAAAAATGTTTTTAACAAGCTTTTTTATTACTAGTTATCGCCTAGTGGCATAAATTTGTCCATAATAATTATTGCAAATTTTATTATTGACTAGCGGCTTACGCTCGCTTCGCTCGGGTGCGGCCCTGTTATTATTTTTTTGTACGTGGTATGTTTTAATTTTTTTGAGCAGTACCCTAATTATTTTCTAAAATAAAAGTAGCCTAACCCTTTATAAGATCAGCTAGCTACCAGTGAAAGTAACGTTAAAATCGGTCTAGCCGTTTCGGAGATTAGCCAGAACATACAGAAAGACAGACAGACAGACAGACAGACAGACAAAAAAATTAAAAGGTGTGCTTTTCTTTTAAGTGCCGTATCCATACAATGTCATATGCATTTAGTAAAACGCTGTTATTTTGACATGACAAACAGACACTTCAATTTTATTTATCTGTATAGATGTAGTATACAGTATATATTAACTTTACTTGTAATACTTTCTTAGATTTACGCGAATATTTGACATTATAAAATTAAAACTATCTTTTCGGATTTTTTTGAATCTATTTTGATTTTTGGTTCCCATTGTTTCGAATGCTCACTTGTAAGTGTATTCTAATCTTGGAAGTTAATTAATCCTACAAATTTTTTTTGTACAGAAATTAAATTAAATTCAGAATTGTATTTCCAAACACATCAATTTAATACCGTTGAGCTGGCCTAATGATGGAGCCAGGAGGTGGGTAGTGGAACTTTTTAGTGGCTACTAGTAAGCCCTTCGAGCTTAGGCTCATATCAAATAGATTGGGCTTGGTAACGAGGGTCAGGCAGTGGTAGCTCAGTGGTTGGAAAACCGAATAAAGTGGGTTCAAATCCCGGGTCTCGCACCTCTGATATTTTCATGTGCGAATCGTTTCGAACATGATTACCACTTCCCTTACGGTGAAGGAAAAAATGGTGAGGAAACCTAGTAAATTGTCGACAGGCATATGGAGCCGCACTTGGCCAGCGTGGTGGACTATGGTCTGATCCCCCTCGTATTGAAAGGAAGCCCGTACCGAAGCAGTCGGATGATAAAAACGGCTGAATACAACGAGGGTTTGGTGATGAAGGAGGTGTTTTCTGTACAGAATATATTTAAATATATAGACCCCAAAACCATATTTATTGAAAATTTGTCTTTTTGCTTGTACATCTGTGTGCTTTCTACGGAAAATGCATTGAACAAATTTTAATCAAATTTTGTGTAGCTTTAAGTTATTACTCGGGTTAACATTTTGAAATTCCTTTTACTACACGAAAATCTCTCATTCACACGGTAAAACACAATAACCATTTATTTTGTTTTCCCATTCCCGTTCGACCGAGTCATTAACAAAAAATAAGATATTGTTTGTTTTTGTTTGAATGTAGGTGTACTTGTACCAGTAAGATTTGAAGTAAGTATTATTTTTGCATTTTATCGAGCCTATTTTTATACAAAGTATTAGACTATCATCACGCTACGGTTCTTAGGATCGGATCAGTAAAGTATGCGAGCGAGCTCTTGAAATAACCCTCAAAATAATCAGTCTATTTTAAATAAAACTATCTTTTCGGATTTTTTCGCGAATTTGTTTAGATTTTTGGTTCCCGACGTTTCGAATGCTTTACAGCGCACGTGGTCACGGGAGAGACTGAGGTTTTAGATGTCTCAAACAAAATGTTACAGACAGCCTACCCACAAATTAACAAAATGAATTCAAAAAAATGAAAAATGGCACTAAAGTACCGTACAGTATCTCGTGATGATGATGTAAAGCATTCAAAACGTCCCGTCGGGAACCAAAAGACAAAATAAATTTACGAAAAAATCCGAAAAGATATGATATGTAGAGAATCGAATTTTTAAATTAAAATGAAGTGTGTAAATGTAAGGCGCTATAAGGTTAATGATAATAACAGGGCATCCAAGACCTAGTGCGTGCGGCCTAGCACTTATTTTTACACAATAATCGTTATTCGATTAAGGAGTATATTTGTACCCATTTTGTTAATATGAATTCAATAAATAAATTAAAGATTTTTTTTCTGTAAAGGTTTTTCTGTGATGGGGTAACAGACAGACAGACAGACAGATAAAAACTTCAAAAAACTATGGATTCGGCCTCTGTATCGATAATAATATTTTTTCAATAAGATTTTCCAAAAAATATTTAATGTACAGATTCGGCTTAGTTACAACTTTATTATATGTATAGATAATAGATATATCATTTGTCAGACAATAACAACGGTTACCATGGCAACAAACAGTTATCAGCTAACTTCATCATGTCGCTTTTTGGCTGCCGGTGTGTCTCATAATTTTTTCCAAACGTCCCAAAAGAAGTATAACTTCAAAAACTAGGGGTTCCCCACCACAAACGGTTTGCGTACAAAACTTTGAGAAACCCTGACATACTTATAGAAGCTTAAACTTTCTTTCTTACAAAACAAAGTTGACACGCGATAAAACACTAAAACTATCCCAAAATTTAACGCCAACGAAACCAACGGCACGCGAACTCGCGTGGCCAAATAATATTTGGCAATAAGCATTATGTTCATTAACGATTTGACTACGATAACAAATTACTGTTCTAACCGACTTCTGAAAGAAGATGGTTCTTATTTATTTTCTATTAACATAACCTGGCTTCTATCAAGTATTAACTCATTCTGTTTTTTTAATATATAGTTAACCTCAAAAAGAGAAAAAGGAACCCTTATAGAATCACTTTATTGTCCGTCTGTTTGTCTGTCAAGACCCTTTTTCTCTGGAACTTAATATCAAAAACTCAAGTCTCCAATCCCTTGGAGCTGTGAAAAAATCAAACTTCTAAGTCAACGCAATCAAAAGATACGGCCGTTTACGTCGCACATTTAGACACTCGCAAGGGAATCAAAACCTATAAAAATATTTCCCGTAGATCTAGAATCGTGAAATTTGTAAGAAGCATTGATTTGTTTTATTTTTCCGAAAAAACAATCCGTCCAGTCTATCCGTAAGTTACATTACAAAATATATTTTTTTTCGCGATTATAAGCTTACTAGCGGCTTACCCTCGCTTTGCAAAACAAAAACAAACCTATCCCGCGGTAATCGTACATTTTTCCGGGATAAAAAGTAGCCTATGTGTTATTTCAGACTATAATCTATCTCTGTGCCAAATTTCATCCAGATCCGATCAGCTGTTCTGGCGTGAAAGAGTAACAAACATCCATATTCACAAACTTTCACATTTATAATCCCATCATATAATAAAAATGGTTTAAATCATATCTTTATGATCGCCAGCAGAGAATCTACTGCGACGAGACTATCTCAGAGTGGTCCAATCTCTTCGCAGGCGTCCCCCAGGGTGGTGTGTTATCGCCATTGCTTTTTTCAATTTTCATTAACCAACTCCCACAGGTACTCTCTTCTAACTACCACCTATATGCGGATGATCTGCAACTTTATAGACATGCTTTGGTAGGGGACTTAGCGTCTGAAATAGACAGGATAAACCTTGATTTGGCAAGAATCAAAGATTGGGCAAATTCTTTCGGACTCCTTGTCAATCCAATAAAGTCTCAGGCCATGATCATTGGTAGTAAGCAGTTGCGGAACAAAATCGACTTCAACAATCTGCCTGACATCATCTACGATAACACTTGCATCAATATCTCAGACACGTGTAAAAACTTAGGTTTAACAATCGACTGCAACCTGTCCTGGGCTGCGCATGTCAACGAGGTCGTACATTATTCACTTCATTCCTTGAGACGTTTACAGAATTTTCTTCCGTTTCAAACTAAAATTACCCTAGCTCAATCACTGCTAATCCCTCTACTCGAATATGCCGACGTCTGCTATCTTGATGCAACCGAGGAGCTACTCGACAAGCTAGATCGCCTTCAGAATTTGTGCATCCGTTTTATATATGATTGCACAAATTTGATCATATAAGTATTTTCCGACGGCAACTGAAGTGGCTCCCCATTCGTTTTCGCCGAAACGTTCGAGTATTATGTGTGCTTTACAATATTTTGAAGACTTCTACACCTTCTTATTTAAGTGAACGCTTCACATTAGTGTCCCCTAGATGCAGACCAGTGCGTGTCTGCCCAAATTAGTGGTTCCTCACTACAATACTACATTCTATAAAAAATCTTTTTCTGTTACGGCAGCAAGTTTGTGGAATTCACTGCCTGATTATATTTTCAAAGATGATCCCTCATTCTCAACATTTAAGTTTAGAATTAAACAATACTATTTATCAAATCAGACATAAATTATTGTAGATTAGTATGTATTTATATGTAAGTATATATGTTTGTATGTATGTCTGTATATATATATGTATGTGAATATAT